ACTGGGTTCTACTCCTGGAACCAATATTATACTATATGTTGACTAACTTGAATTTAAATTTAAAAAATGCAAGAAAGAATCCCACAAACCAATGTGAATGTACTTAGTGCCACTGAACCATATACTTAAAATGGTTAAAATTTACCAAAGTTAACAATAATAAATATGCTCATTATCCCTTACGCTTAACCATCCCACTACTGGGAATTAGTCCTATAGATATTCTGCAAAATGATACGCATCTGGACAGGACATTTGTACCATTGGTATTAGCAAAAGACTGGAAATAAACATCCATCAACAGAGAACTTAGATGAATAAACTAATGGGTATCCTTTGTTTTCATTATTTTTTTTTAAAGTTTACTTATTTGAGAGAGAGAGAGAGAGAGAGAAAGTGGGGGAAGGGCAGAGAGACAGGTGAACAGAGGAACCCAAAGAGACTCTGTGCTGACAGCAGAGAACCTGACACAGGGCTTGAACCCACTAACTTTGAGATCATGACCTGAGCCTAAGTTGGACACTTACCTGAGTGAGCCACCCAGTCGCCCCAAACTGCAGGATATTCTGAAGTGGGATGACCATTTTTTATTTTCTGTGTGTGGCAGTGACAAATACAATGACTTCTCATAGATTAATAGTGGAAAGTATGCTATTGGATGCATACTAAGGTAGCAGCAATTTTAAATGTCAACTCATAGGGGAAGGGAAGGAAAAATAGGATAGAAACTAAGATAAGAGAGGGAGGCAAGCCATTAAAGATTCTTAAATATAGAGAACAAACTAAGGGTTACTGGAGGGGAGGTGGGTGGGGGGATGGGCTAAATGAGTGATGGGCATGAAGGAGGGCATTTGTTGAGAGGAGTACTCGTGTTATGATGAGTCACTGGGTTCTACTCCTGAAACCAATAGTACACTTGTCTGTTAACTAACTTGAATTTAAATAAATAGGAAAGAAATGTCATAACACTTGGACACTCATGAATTTTCTTGCAATACACATATTTGTATAATTTCTAATGTATTCCTAAAGCCTAGCTCATGCCTGGCACATAGTAGGTATTCAATTTGTTGAATTTATGAATGTTTTCCCAAGGATAGTCTTTATTGAGGCAGGCCCAGAGAGACTATTAGGATCTGCTGGGGAAGTCATTCAGCAACATCCAAGTACCCACATCTGAGTGTAAAACTCTCATTAGGTGTCATGAAGGAATCTAAAAGCAGTAGCTCCCACCATGTACTCTTGTTAGAACACATTCTCCCATGAATATCACTTAAAATTATAAAAACATGCACATAAAATAGAAGACAGACAATAGGAAGTAATCAGACTGTTGGCACTAACGGGGAACTAGGATTCATTTTACCTTGGAGTGAAATCTTCACAAGTCTTCCCCAACTTATTTGAATAAAATGTGGATCTAATCTGAGCACTCTAGTATTTTGAGGAGGAGTGTTATTTTAAAGGTGCTGGAAGTCTTAAGATCACTGGATCGTGTAAACATTGATGGGACAGGAACTTGTTTCATGTCATGACCCTCTCCACAGTGAAAGTAACCGCTTGTGGGGAGCCTGGGTGGCTTAGTCGGTTAAGTGTCCGACTTTCGCTTAGGTCATGATCTCGCAGTTCGTGGGTTCGAGCCCCACGTCGGGCTCTGTGCTGACTGCCAGCTCAGAGCCTGGAGCCTATTTCAGAGTCTGTGTCTCCCTCTCTCTGACCCTCCCCTGCTCACGCTGTCTCTCTCTCCCTCTCTCTCCTAGAAATAAATAAAAATATTTAAAAAATAAATAAAAAAAAAAAAAAAAAAAGAAGAAAGTAACCGCTTGTTCTCAGAAAGCAAGACCGCACCAGCAGCTGCAGCCTCTAAATTCACCAATCCAGGTAGCCGCTAATTGTTGTAAATCAGTTGGATACTCCTGGTCTCATCTAGTTATTTTTAATGATTACTATTTCTAACTCCCATCCCAACACACATGCTCATCTTCCTCTTCCCTTTATCCCACTGATCATTTTTGGTTAACTTTGCCATCCTGTTGTAGTATTCGTTAGTTTCTAAATATCTTACCATGTGCACTGAGGTCTGACCATCACCGTGATAATATCCTCAAATTCAAAAGTACCATCAACATATATTCCTTTTCCTGAAACATTTCCTTTTAGCTATTCTACTTTAGGAGCTTGGGCAAGTTATTTTACTTACATAGGTCTTAAAAAGAGGAAGTTAAACTGGATTAGAGGTTTTCAAACTTGTCTTCACCCACAGGAAGAAATACATTTTTACTTCATGATATGCTCCACACAAAAGTACATACATTTAACTGAAAAGTTTCACAAAACCATATTAATCTTATTAGAGCTGATAGACTGATTTTTTCTTTTTTATTGAAGTAAAATTCACATAACATAAAAGCACCATCGAAACCATTTTTAAAATGTACAATTCAGTTGCTTTTAGTAATTCACTATGTTGTGTTAATGATTATCACTACTTAATTTTGAAATATTTCCATCACCTCTAAAAGAAATCTCGTACCCATTAAGCAGTTATTCCTCATATTTTTAAGATTATATTCTATTTAATTTAATTTCCAAAGAATTCTGAATAAGACTCACTAAACTTGTCTAAAGAACCACTAACTAATGAGTCCCGTCAGCCTGAAATAAATGCTAAATAAATTACTATGAGAATGTCTGTCTCTAATTCTATGATGCTCTTCCATTCTAGACATTATTTCCCTTCAAATGAAATATTCTTAGAGGATTCCCACTGAAATTTTCTAAGAGGTACAATTTGCTTTTTGGACTCATTTATCCATTAATTCAACAGATAATCATTAGGGCATGAATGGAAAATAGATAAAAAAATAGTTTCTACCTCCAAAGAGTTCACAATCTCATAATAGAAGGAGATCGGCGTGAAGATGAATGAGTATAAATAAGAAGGGGAAGCAATCAGTTCTTCCTTGCAGTGTGATGAGAAGGATTAAGAAGAGTTTCAAAGATATGATCATAAATTGACCTCAGAAAGAATATATAGATATTTTCTCATTGACATTTATACTTCTGCTCTAGTCTTCCTCTCAGGTTTACAAAGTGACTTTCTTATAATCGACTGTGAAAATCCCAGAAAGATAATATAAGGAAACCAGCTTTCATACTGGCCAAGAAGGAAGGCAAAAAGGAATAAAAGAAGGAAAGAAACTAACATTTATTAAATATTTACAATGTGACAAGCACATATATTTTCTTATTTAATCCTCCCAATAATTATTCAAAGTATATACTCTTATCCACATCTTGTTCAGAATAAATGTCTTTACACAACTTCATTTTGGTTGTACCAGAACATATACAAACATTTCTAAGTGAGACAGGGCTATCGTGCCACAAAGTTTGGTAATTCAGTGTGAAAATTTTCACTAATCACATCTAATTTGCCAAGGATCTTTTAGGACTTGTCCTTTCTTAGGAAGCAGTTATATCAAAATCATTATAAAGTGGGAAGGCAACTGATGAAGGTATTTGTAACCCAGGCTTTGTGGAGATCCAGAGGGAAAGGAAGAATGGAAATAGAGAGTACTTTAAGATTAAATAAAAGCATTCCCATTAATGTTCATGCCAGGGAAGGTTTCAGTCCCCTATTCAGATGGCCAGAAAGAGGGAGTCACTTTTAAAAATCATGCAGAATGAATCTCCTGTTTCCAAGGAGATAATCTTTCTGTGGCACCTTGCTTGAAAGTTACTATCACCATGATAAAAAGCTGAGAAGAAGGACGTTTCTGGCTTGTTGAGAACAGGCCATAGTGATCCACCAACTAGAACTGTCAGAAATCCAGTCGATACCAGTGCAGCATGTGGAAATAAGTAAGGCTAGAAGGCATGACACTAGGCATTGTTTGGGATAATGTAGCCAATGGTGGATCTTTTTTAGGCAGGAAGTATGACCAAGGACCATTGTATTCAACAAGGCTGCTATAGGAGTGGGGCATTGGTGAGGTTGGGGATGGAAGCAGACTCTTACAGGAAGCAGGAAGTCAACTAAATTATTGGGTATGAGAGTTAATGCAAAGCATATGGGAAACCAAACCTGGAACATCAGAGGCCAGGAGATACCAGCTGATAATGAGGCAACAGAAGCATTGCTTCAAAGATAAGGGCAGCAAGCTCTAGGTTGTCATAGACAGCAAGCAAATACATAAGTCTGAAGGCTACTACAGCCACCAGCAACTGAGATGGACTCTTGTAAAGCTTAAGAAGTGGATTACTGGTTGGTAGAAAAACATTTAAAAAAGGAGAGCCAGAACTCAGAAGCAGGAGGAAATGGAGAGTTAGTGTTTTTTGACTACTTATTATGTCAGGCACTATGCTGAGTGCTTTATTTTTTAGTTTGTTTTTTTTTTTTTTTTTTTGAGAGAGAGAGAGAGAGAGAGAGAGAGACACTCTCAAGCAGGCTCTGCACTGTCTTGATTAAGCCATCAGGTCTATGGATGGTTATGGCTATAACTGATTGAGCCACTTGGACATCCCTTTACTTCCTATTTAAAACTCAAATCCACCCAAGGGGCACCTGGGTGGCTCAGGCGGTTGAGCTCCCGACTTCAGTTCAGGTCATGATCTCATGGTTCGTGGGTTCGAGCCCCGCGTTGGGCTCTGTGCTTGGAGCTAGCTCAGAGCCTGGAGCCTGTCTTCGGATTCTGTGTCTCCCTCTCTCTCTGACCCTCCCCTGCTCATGCTGTCTCTCTCCCTCAGAAATACATTTAAAAAGTTAAAAAAAAACCCTCAAATCCACCCAAGAAAGTTAGACCATCCCCTTTTTATAGACAAGAAGTCTGAGTCTGAGACTTATTTTTCATTATTATAGCTGGAAAGGGTCTATATCGATTAGCAAAAGAAACAGACGTAGGGAAGAGAAACATCTTTTAAACAGGGAGTTAGAAGAAATTTTAAAAAGCTTTAATGTAATATGCTAAGATAAAGTTAACAAAACCAGGAAAACTTACTCTTGGACCAGGTGCTCCAGGTGGACCCTATAATATAACAAATTTTAAAAAGAATTTGTCAGTAGGTAATCTCAAACCAGGTAAGCATATAAGCATCAACAGTAAACAGATATAAATGCAAATAAACTCACTGGAGGCCCTGGTTGACCTCTTGGCCCTTGGGGACCCTAGAAGAAATGCAGACAAAGCACAACATGTATATCTTATGCATATGATTAGGAATAAACAAGACAACAAAGATTCAGCCTATAACACTGCCTTTCACGTAAGGAAGGTTCTTAAGATTCAAAGTTGTTTTAGTATTTTAAAGTTATATGCTCTTTGCACTCAACTATCACACCCAATTGTGAACAAGCTGAATATTTAATGTTTTATCTATACTAGACAATGAGTGTATTTATTTTAATAATCTATTATAAATATAACATTTAAAAATGGTAATACCTTCTAAGTATGTTTTTCTTGTTATTTCTATATGCCATCCACCTAATCAGCAAAGATGAAAACTTTAGTGTTCTTAGATACCTCCTTTACCTTCGATATCCACCTATAATTTGGTTATCTACTACTGCTGAATTCACCTCCAAATCTCTCCAGAATACTTCTCCATCTTCATAGTAAGTGTCTTAGTTTAGTGTTAATTATGTACTGTAGACTGAACGTTTGTGTTCCCCCCAAATTCACACATTAAAGCCCTAATCTTCAGTGTGATGGCATTTGGAGGTGGGGTTTTGGGGAGGTAATTAGATCACGTGGAGCCCTTATGTGGAGTCCTTCTAGGAAGAGACACAAGGGAGATGATCTCTCTTTCTACCATATGAGGATATAGCAAGAGGGCCTCTGTCTGCAAACCGGGAAGAGAACCCTCACTTGACATTGGACCTACCAGCACCTTGATTTGGACTTCAGAGCCTCTACAACTATAAGAAATAATGTTTCTTGTTTAAGTTATCCAGTCTATGGCAACTTATTATAGCAGCGTGAGATGACTAGGACATCGTGTTTTGCCCAGACTTCTAATACGACATTCTGACTTTATTCTCTCTACTATGCTGACTACACTGTATTTATAAAATGGAAATCTAATCAGGTCATTATTTAGTTAAAATGATTCAATAGCTCTTTATTTGTCTAGAGATGTTATAAGCTTCCTAAAAGTGGTAGCTACCATTTATTGAGAACTTACTACATGCCAAGTTGTGTGCTCACTTCCTAAGAACTAACTGTATGACAAGTCATATGCTATATTTCCATTTTACAGTGAAGAAAGTGGCAACCAGTAAATAAGGGACAGAGCTAGGATTAAAATGAAAGTCAATTGAATATAAAAGTATACGTTCTTTCTTTTTCAATTACAGAGAGAGAATATGTGTGCAAGTGGGGGAGAGGGAGAAAGGAAAGGGGGGGGAGAATCTCGAGAAGCCTCCACACTCAGCACAGAGCCTGATGCAAGGCTAGAGCCCACAACTCTGGCATCATGACCTGAGGCAAAATCAAGAGTCAGATACTCAACCAACTGAGCCACCCAGGCACCCCAAAAGTATATGTTCTTAATCAATGTGCACCCCTATCTCCTCTTCAAGATCTGGGCCTCACCTCTACTTACTCTCCCCAACACATCCTACACTCCATCTATAACCAGCTACTTGTAGATCTCTGCGTCTTCAAAGTTCTTTCACATATGCATTCTCTCGCATGTGCTATTGCCTTGACCAGGGATGCTGCTCCTTACCTTCTTTGTTTAACTCTCATTTCTCTTCCAGTATGTCTTTAAAACTCTATACTTACCTTGCTCACGCCTTCCCAGCCACCTTCTTCCTGCTCAGCTAACCACTTCTGCATTCCGCAGTACATAACACAGTGGAAAATCCCTAGACTGTCTGCTCATAATTTAACTTACTTGATGGTCAATTGAATGTTAAGGCCACATTGAGTCAAATTCAGATAATAGTTAAAAGATAGACAAAACAAAAAATGAAGCAATTAGCCAAGTAATACAAAATATTATTCAACAATATAACATTTATTAGTGTTCTATTCCTTTAGCCCACCATTAAGAAAAAGTGATTCACTCTCTCTAGCTACTATATAAAAAAGTATCTAGGGGCATCTGGGTGGTTCAGTTGGTTGAGTGTCCAACTTTGGCTCGGTCGTGATCTTATAGTTTGTGAGTTCAAGCCCAGCGCCGCCTGCTTCAGATTCTGTGTCTCCCTCTCTCTCTGCCCATCCCCTGCTCATGGTCTGTCTCTTTCTCTCTCTTTCAAAAATAAATAAACATTAAAAAAGTATCTAAGAAATTTACAATAAAAACAGTTTATAATAAAACTATGATTATTTATATTAATTTCCTAAAGGGAAAGCAATTTATGTGAATGGTTATGGTGGTTATTTGGCCATTGGTCAAAGCACTACCATTGGAAATAGACTCTCTTTCCATTTAATCCCAGAATTTACATTTGATCCTCTAAAAGTAACATATTTTTCTTACATTTAAAAAAATATTGATAAGGGCATGTCTTTGAACCTGAGTATGTCAGACTTTGCCTTTTTGTAAAGGCAATCTTGATTTAATTTCATAATCTTTAGGCTGGCTTAGGTAGAGAGCTTCTTTTTTCTCAGTTATAAATTGAGAAGCTTGCATTGCTTAGCAGCATCCCAGGTCTCTACTCACTAGGTGCGACTAGCAACTCTCCTTTTTTCCCAGTTGTGACAACCAAGTATGTCTCTACAGATCGCCAAATGTCTCCTGTGGTGTGTGTGTGGTGGGGGGATGGCTTCTGGTTGAGAACCACTGATTTAGAGGGTTTAACTGGGAATTTAGTGATATTAAATACTATTTATTAGAAGTAATGTGATTAGGATGGAGTCAGTGAATTAATTATAAGGCACAGAGGATTACTACAAGTGAGGAATGGACTCATGTGGAATCTGCCATGTAAATGGCTGGCCTCTTCTTAATGAATGTAGGTGAGAGGCCTAGATATACCATCTTCCTTACCCAAGTTGCTCCTAAAACATTTTTTTTTAATGTTTTATTTATTTCTGAGAGAGAGAGAGAGAGAGAGAGAGAGAGAGAGAGACAGCATGAGCAGGGGAGGGTCAGAGAGACAGGGATACACAGAATCTGACACAGGCTCCAGGGTCTGAGCTAGTGGTCAGCACAGAGCCTGATGTGGGGCTCGAACCCACGAACTGCGAGATCATGGCCTGAGCCAAAGTCCGACGCCCAACCGACTGAGCCACCCAGGCACCCCTAAAACTTATTTTCTGAGAGGTCCTATAATTAATAGAAAAGTATAATGGTGTGGGTTTTGGGAGACCTGGGCTCTTGTCTTGTCGCTGTACCTAATTAACTGTATTTCCTTGAGTGAGTTGTTGCACATTTGGACCTCAGATATCTCAACTGTAACAAGATTTGGTGAAGATTAATTTCTAAGGCTTGCTTCAAAATTGTGATTTTCAAATGCTTTATCAATTTTCTTCCTCATATTTTATATTTGAAGAAAGAAGGTGTCTACGTGTATACACTTTGGGAATTTTAATTTGAAGTTTGTATGAAGGTAAGGAAGTATGTACTTGAGTTAAAAGAGTTTAATTTTTTATATGAATGAATTATACTATCTATAAATAGTATAAATAGATCTTTATAAAAGATCTTTTATATGTATCTTTTTAAATATAATAGATCTTTTAAAAAGAATCATAATTCATATAAGCTTTGAATTCTTAACTTGCTAATATTTAGGACATATTTTCCCATAACTTAGCTTTTCCTTATAATATATCTTCCTCACTTTCAAACTGGAGGAAAAGAATACAATTCTGCTAATCAAGAACTGTGAAGACACATGAATTTAGAGGCAATATTTGAGAAAATGTCAATGATATTCTTCAAAATCTTACTGGTTTTCATTAAATAATATGCTATAAAATGAAGCAGATAAACTAAAAATTCATATGCTGAGATTATTTTCTATTTTTCCTACTTCTGTGGCTTTAACCTGCTTCAAGTTGTGACATTTTGCCAAAATCCCTTTCATATGATTGACACTAGGATATTTTTTTTTCACTAATTGTATCCATTATTTCCAGAGACCATCTTTGCATACTTACTTCATAACATCATGTTCTAAAAATGTTTGATGTCTCATGGGAACCATGAGATTTTTGTAACCTTTTAAGATTAACTTGCCCTTAGTGTGATATTTTTGAAGCAGGTCCATATGCTATCTGCTAGAAAGCCTTCTCAGGATGTCATAAAATTCTAGCTCAGTTTACTATATATACATATATATCTATATATATATCTTTATATTGTGTATATATATATATGAATCCAGGGACTTATTTTTGGAATAGTCCATAGGCAGGCAGATATGAAGCAAGTATAGAGTAGAAGGAACAAGGCACTCTTTCATATTGGCAATACAGAAACAGCTTTCTCCGAGGTGGAGAGTACCTACTTGGGAACAATACTGGAGTTTGAAATGTTAAATTCTAGAAGGTATAAAGCTTCCTAACCAAGAACCCCAAATTTATTCTAAAGGGAGTAAGTACTTCTCTGGGTACCTGGGTGGCTCAATCGGTTAAGCATCTGACTTCAGCTCAGGTCATGATCTCATGATTCGTGGGTGTGAGCCCCATGTTGGGCTCTGTGTTGACAGCTAGCTCAGAACCTGGAGACTGTTTCAGATTCTGTGTCTCCCTCTCTCTCTGACCCTCCCCTGTTCATGCTCTCTCTCTCTCTCAGAAATAAATTAAAAATTAAAAATTAAAAAAAATAAAGGGAGTACTTCTCATGTATTGTTTAATGAACTGTAACTCTTTTTTTCTTTTACAATTTATTGTCAAGTTGGTTTCCATATAATACCCAGTGCTCATCCCAACAAGTGCCCTTCTCCATGCCCATCACTCCCCTTCCCTTCTCCCCTGCCCCCATTAGCCCTCAGTTTGTTCTCAGTATTCAAGAGTCTCTTATTGTTTGTCTCCTTCCTCTCCTTAACTACTTTTCTCTCTTCCCCTTCCCCATGGTCCTCTGTTAAGTTTCTCCTGTTCCCCTTATGAGTGAAACATATGGTATCTGTCCTCTGCCTGACTTATTTCACTTAGCATAACACCCTCGAGTTCCATCCACGTTGCTACAAATGGCCAGATTTCATTCTTTCTCATTGCCATATAGTATTCTACTGTATAGATAAACCACATCTTCTTGATCCATTCATCAGTTGATGGACATTTTGGCTCTTTCCACAATTTGGCTATTGTTGAGAGTGCTGCTCTGAACATTGGGGTACATGTGCCCCTATGAATCAGCACTCCTGTGTCCCTTGGGTAAATTCCTAGCAGTGCTATTGCTGTGTAATCTTTTTTTTTATTTTAAAGGCACTGAATCATCATTTGGTCTTGGTATAAAATGGCACAGCTTTATAAATTGGTAACAATGGCACAGTTTCATAAATTCTTATGCCAGCTTCATGGAACATTTAAAAATAAGATTTATAAAGCCAGCTTGATAGATTGTTGTGTTTCTGATCTTTGAACAAAGAGTGGAGTGTCATATTTGTCTCAATACAATAGATCTTGGTGAATAAAAATTCATTCCAAAAGTGCCCCATGTACTGCTATTCTTTGAGGCTGACCCCCTTGAGGATATTATATTTGGAAACATTATAGCTAGAGGTGTTTAGGCAGTCAATTATTTTAAGCCATTCCCTTAAAACAAACCTGTAGAATATACTGAAAAAATCTTAATGAGAGTTTAAGTAATGTTACTAAGCTTTTCCAGATTATGGTTTAATTGTGCATTTTATGGAGTAAGTTAATTGCAGATGATCTTTAGGAATTAAAAACTTAATTTTATAAAGTTCCTTACGCCATAGTGGAATCAAAGGAAAATAGATGATAAAAAGATATTTAATACCAGTTATTCAACAACAAAAAACCAGAATAAAACAATAAATTCTAATGTGCAAGTTAATCTTTTTTGTAACAGCTAATGTTATTGCCTAAACTAAATGTCACTGTGTCCCCTTCCTTGTACTGGGAGTTTGTACTCTATCTATTAAGAGAACTATGGTAATCCACAGAGCAAAAGACTGGTAAGTATGTCAATTCTTACTACTTTGTCAAATGCTACTTTACCATCCAGAATTGAAAATACTTGTTAACTTTTAATTTTAGGGAACAATATTTATTTAATACATTTCTCAAATATTACCGACTACATGGCTAGTTCTATTCTTGACACATGTAAATGGAGTTTACATTCTGGCAGAGGAGGCAGAAAAATCATTTCAAATACTGCTAACTACTATGAAGAAAACAAAACAAGATGTTGTGAGAATGACCAGGGATAGTGAGACTGAACAGTCATGGAGGGCTTCTCTAAGGAGATGTTTGAGGTGAGTCTGGGATAATGAGGTAAGAACCAATTGTGTGAGGAACAGATGTGTTTTCTAGGTAAAAGGAAGGCAGGTTTCAAAGAATAGAGACAAAGTCAGTGTAGTGAAAGGGGAAAGGGGCACATTATGAGTTTAGAGAGACAAACCAGGGCTATGTCTTGTAGGGCATAGCAGACCAAGGTAAGGAATTAGGATTTTATTCTAAGTGCAAGAAGGAGTCATAGGAAGGGTTTTAAAGAGGAGACTGACAGAATCTGCTTTATGCTCTAATGGTATCACTCTAGTTGCTATGTAGCGAATGGATTGTAGTGGAGAAAAGTGGAAGGAACACTAGGAAGTCGAGAGTCCAGAGGAGATATCGTGGCAATCCGGACAAGAGTGACACTGATAAAGAGTGAGAGAAGTGTGTGAATTCAGAATAGGAATTAGACTTGACAGGAGCTAACCTCTACTTTAAAGAACTCTCCCTTATGTTCTACGTCTTTCTTTGTTCTTTTATGGGGGATCTGCTTATTTTTCTTTTATGTAGAATCATAAACCCTTAGAGCTGGAAGGGTCTTTGAAGGTATAAATTCTAATTCCCTACTCAGTGCAAAACTACCCGTCCGGTAACTCAGAAACATAGTCATTAGGCTTCTAGTGACAGGCACTCACTATCTTGTAAAACTATCTTGTTTTAAAGCAGTGCCTTATTATATTAGACAGCTCATTATTATTTTGAGCTGGAATCAGCCTCAGCATTCCATCCACTTACTTAACAGTATCTATTCTGTGCTAATTATGTGCTAAGTCCTGTGATGGGCGGGGAATTAGGGCGCATCAAAGGTACTTTCTGCTCTCACAGAGCTCACTGTTTCTGAGGGAGCTAAGCACAGAAATTGAAAATTCAATTCAATAAGTAAATAACTTAAAATTTATCCTCTAGAGTTACTCATATTATACATATTCTTCCTTTCAAAGATTTAATGGCAACTATCATGTTCCAAGACCTCAAATATTTTCTAATTCATGCACCAGTAATTTACTAAATATTTATTGAACACCAACTATATAACAGAGGCACTATGTTAGGTGTTGCGGACACAAATTTAATGCAAACAACAGGTAAAACATCTGTGTCATGTAGCCCATATTCTAGTGAAGAGAAATATAATAAGCAAAAAACCCAAATAAACATGTAATATAGCAGGTTGTAGGGAAACAGGTTTAGAAAAGATACGGAATCCCAGACAGATAGGCTATTACTATTTTACATAGGCTAGGAAGAAAAAGCCTCTCTGATAAGAGGACATTTAAGAAAAGACTGAATAACATTTGTCAGGCATTGTACTAGGTCCTGGCTACTGGTACTTATGTACGCAGGTGGCAGTTGGCCTGAGGATAAAATGTCAGCAAACAAATTTAAATTATAACCTCATAAACAGGAACTACAGGGATAAAGAGCATGGGCAAAAAAAAAAAAAAAAAGCAGGTACAAAACCCAGGAAGCAAAGAGAGAGCAATGAGAACAAGGAAAGGGATGATAAGGTTGCAGAGTCTGGTCAGGGTTAAACATCTTGGGTATTTCAACTGGTTTTCCTAGGACATGGCTCCTCGATACATCACTGATCTGAGAAAGTCCTCCAAATATGCTTTAATTTTGTCCATGTTCTCCTTCGGGGAATGGCCTGACTTGTGCCACCACATGCTTTATTCTGGATGCCATATGTCAGTTAACGCAACCTAAAATTTCAGGCATAATCTGCTGAATTTGCAAGCTATCAGAGCCACTGAATTTTCCTTCATGTGAAATGCCTGTGAAATTGTCATAGGGACTTGAGGTTTCCTAACTCTGACAGAAATTTCTATTCCAGCCACAGTACTTGGAGAGAACTGGTCAGGAAGGTAGTTGGAGACAGACAAGTCTAGAAAATGAGCTAATTCCAAGCCTCTCTGCTTTTCCTTTCCCCTTTCCACCCCTCCTCGGGAATATGACTTCACTGTGTACAGAAATCCTTGCTTCTGGCTATAATAAGTCTTCTGAGAAAATATGAAGGCCACATTTCTGCAAATTAAAAACATTTATTTTAGGGTACCTGGCTGGCTTAGTTGTTAAAGCATGCAACTCTTGATCTTGGGGTTGTGAATTCAAGCCCCACTTTGGGTGTAGAGATTACCTAAAAATAATATCTTAAAAAAAAGAAAAAGAAAAAAATCTATTTTGAAGTTCTCTGGGGATTCTTAGTCTATTTGAAACCACATAAATTTCCTTCCTCAGCTAATTAATAGAACTGCAACCTATTTATTCTGAGCCCCCAAGCATACCTTATGGTGAAAAGCAATGTCAGCTGTCAATGCAATTTCATTACCTTTGAAGCCAAGACTTCTCTGCAACCTTTAAGTTTATTCTTATTTGCCTTCTGTACTTGGTTTTAATCCCTCTCATATTATTCCATGCTTGCTCCCTGTTTATGGCTGCTGCTCTAGTAAATTCAGCAGGATCTCTGCTGGGAAAGTGGCCTCTTTACAAAGTAGCTTCTTTAACCTGGAAGCACTAGCATTCCAGAAAAGTAGAAATAGTGCCACTGTAAGCCGCTTAGGACTGGAAAGTGCTACGTGTACCTTTTGTCTATCCTCTCACAATTATTTTCAATAGGCTGAAATATACAACTAATGATATGCTTCTGCACTGGACATCTTGGGCACTGACATGACACAGTGGGTATATCCTTAAGGCGGTGTGGCGATCCTCTTGATCCAGCACTGGTGAAGAAGGCTCACATGGCAAATGCCTGATGCCTGACAAGGCAAATATGCCATTTCACACAGTGATCTGGGAAGAACTTGATCGGCAGGTTCTTAAATATGGTTAGGGGTTATCAGGTTTCACTGTAAGGTACCACCTTCATTAGTTCTACCTTCTGAAAAGTGTAATTTTATTTTTATTCCACAAGTATCAGAGACATAATAAAAAGCAAACGAACAAGGTCCTTGCTTTCATGGAACTTACATAGCCTAGTGACAAGTGATAACAGAACCATAAATTTAAACTTACAGTTTCACCTCTAAAGCCTTTTTCACCTCTGGGTCCCTACAAGAAAACAGGAAATGTTAGTTTAGTGCCGTTGATAGTTATTTATCAAATGTAGTTGAGGCTATACACAGAAACATGATAACTTATGTTTTTGTTTTTTCTATCCAGCAAGACATGTTGAGTACATTTATATAAATTCTAGTTTCTTTTTCCTGAGGTAAGCAAAGCAAAGCAAAAACAAAAACAATATACTGATTTATCATGCTATCCGAAGTGAGGTAAGGATAACAAGCAAACAAGTCAAAACAGCTGATCTGACAATCAACCACCAAACCATTTGAAGGGAAGTTACCAGATTAAATTCTTCTAATATTTGTTTCCCTCGGCCTTTGAAAATCTTGTTTCTAGGACGGTGTCCTTTCCCCCCCATCTTTTCTTTCTATTCCCCCTTCTGAGCTACAACCCACAAATTTTAATATGTTGTATACATTTTCATCCAGTTCAGAATATTTTCTAACTCTCTTTGAGACATCCTCTTTGATCCATGGATTATTTAGAAATGTGTGGTTTAAGTTTCAAGTGTTTGGAGATTCCTTATTATCTTTTCAGTTTACTGATTTTTTTTTTTTTTTTTACTTTAATTCCAGTATGGCCAGAAAATGTATCTTATATGACTTCAGTTCTTTTAAGTTTAGCACAAAAATTTTTATGACTCAAACTGTGGTCTATTTCGGTGATTTTCCATGTGCACTTGACAAGAGAGTGTAGTTGCTGTTGGATGAAGCTACTGTTTTAAAAATTCCTGTTAATATTTTTGTTTTCATCCTTGTGGAAATTATTTACTTATTTTTTTATTTAAAAAAGGATAATACTATACGTCTTTTCAAAAACCTGAATTTACACTTTCACAATATTATGAATGTTTTCCATCTCAATCCACGCTTCTCTAGATAGTTATAATGCTTACTTAGTATTTAAGAACTATAATATTTTTATTGAATTTCCTACTAGATTTTTTCTAATTTTTGTCACGGTAACCCTCTGATAAATATCCTTGTACTCCATAAGCTGTCCTCCAGAAACTTTGCTTGAAATTGCATGCACACCTGCAAAATATGGGAGTCTATATGTCTCAACACATGCCATGTCCTATAATTCTTTGTTTAACCTTGCAGGTTAAAAATACTATCTCATTATTTCACTATTTATATTACTTCTTTTCTGTTTCCTATTTTGTTCTGAATTCATTTTAAACCAGGATAGTAACTTCCAAAAACTAATTTAAAAAAATTTTTAAATTTTTATTTATTTGAGGGAGAGAGAGAGAGAGAGAGAGAGAGAGAGTGCACACATGAGCGCTTGTGCAAGTGGGGGAGGGGCAGAGAAGGAGGGAGACAGAGGATCCTAAGTGGGCTCTGTGCTGACAGCAGAGAGCTTGATGCAGGGCTTGAATTCATGAACTGCAAGATCATGATCAGAACCGAAGTCAAGACATTTCACCAACTGAGCCACCCAGGTGCACCCCAAAACTAATTTTTTTAAATGTTTATTTTTTGAGAGACAGGGAACAACAGAGGATGAGTGGGGGAGGGGCAGAGAGAGAGGGAGACACAGAATCTGAAGTAAGCTCCAGGCTCTGAGCTACAGCAGAGAGCCTGATGTGGGGCTCTAAACCACGAATGTAAGATCATGACTTGAGCCAAAGTCGGATGCTCAACCGAGCCATCCAGGCATCACCTCAAAAACTAATTTTTAAGACATCTTTATATAACTTGTTTATATACACTCTCTCACCTCCATCCCAGTATTAACAACTAGGTATATACCTTTTTTTTTTTTGATGATATACTGATGAAAATATTTATGTATGTATAAGGTGATTGGTAATATTTTATAATATTGATCTCATATTGTATACTCTTCTGTGACTCAGATTTTTCACACTTAATATAGCACAAACAACCACAAGTCCACTGAACTAAATATAACTAGTTGTTCTCAATAATTGCATAATCTATGAAATGGCTAGACCACGATTTACTTAACCATTCCTTTACAGATGAACATTCATATGATCTCAAACTTTTTTGCTAATATGGCCAGTACTGTGAAAAAACTCCTTCTATAATATCCTTAGTGTACAGAGTACTTAATTTCTATGGCACAAATTCCTCAAAGTGGAACTGATTGGTGAAAGGGTATATGCACTTATATTTTAACAAATATCTTTCCATGAAGGCTATAATTCACATTTCTACTACTGATAGGAGTACTGTTCTCCCTAATCCCCTTCTGAGAGGTTAAATGTAATATCTCATTATTACTTTAATTTGCATTTCTGTGACTGTAAGTAAGGAGACCATCTTTCCAAATAATTATTGACCCTTTGGATTTGTTCTTCAATTTTCTATCAGGTTTTTTATCTTTTTCATACCAATTTGTAAGAGCTCTTTATACATCAATTCATATGCTTTTGTAATTACTTTTGCCCAGCTTATATTAATTTTATTCATGGAATCTTTTTCTATAAAAAAATAAAAATTTTCAAGTATTCAAATACAAAGTTTTTTAGTTTTCAGATTTCTTTTCTTTAAATTTTTAAATTTTTTAAAAAAATTTATTTATTTCTGAGAGAGAGAGAGAGAGAGAGGGAGAGAGAGCGTGAGCAGGAGAGGGTTGGGGAGAGAAAGATAGATACAGAATTGGAAGCAGGCTCTAGGCTCTGAGCTAGCCGTCAGCACAGAGCCAGACGGGGACTTGAAACCACGAACCGTGTGATCATGACCTGAGCTGAAGTTGGACACTTAACTGACTGAGCCATCCAGGTGCCCCTCAGATTTCCTTCCTTATATAAAGGGTCTCCTCAGGGGCACCTGGGTGGCTCAGTCAGTGAGTGTCCGACTTTGGCTCAGGTCATAGTTGCATAGTACATGAGTTTGAATCCCCCATGGGGTTCACCGCTGTCAGTACAGAGCCCGTTTGGAATCCTCTGTCTGCCTCTTTTTCTGCCTCTCCCTGCTCATGCTCTATTTCTCTTTCTCAAAAATAAATTAGAAAACATTAAGAACAAACAAACAAACAAAGGTCTTCTCAACCCTTAAGCTATACATTAGCTTTCTAGATTTTTTTTTATACTTTAAAGCCTTTTAAAAAATATTTAAAAAAAGTTGGGTGAAATAGGGTTCCAATTTCTTACAGCAATACTGTGACTAAAAGTAATTCCATTTCCCTTTCCTGTCACTGGGATAAGAATGGGCAAGTAGCTGATCAATGGACATGAGGAAAAATGCAGTGGGAGACTTCTGGAAAAAACTTTATTTTTCCCAAGATAGGGCTTAAGATCAGTTTTCATTTTGGATAATTATATCTGGATGTAATTGTTGAGAAACTTTAGTCATCTTTTTTTTAAAAACATTTATTTTTGAGAGAGAGAGAGACAGAGCACAAGTCGGGGAGGGGCAGAGTGGGGGAGACACAGAATCCGAAGCAGGTTCCAGGCCCTTAGCTGTCAGAACAGAGCCCGATGTGGGGCTTGAACCTACCAACCGTGAGATCATGACCTGAGCCAAAGTCAGACCTTTAACCGACTGAGTCAACCAGGTGCCCTGTAGTCATCTTTCTATAAGTCTAATTATGAAGCTAACATTCAGGATGATAGAGTAGAGACATGGAAAGAACCTGGTTTTGGAAAACATAATAAAATCACTAAGTAAGCCAAATCTGAAGCCCTTCCTACCTCTGGGCTTCCCATTAATGTGATATGAATTTCCTTATTATTAAATCCAGTTTTATTCAGGGCTCCTATCAGCTTACAGCCCAAATAATCCTGCTATACCATTTCTGTTGTAGTTAAATTCCTATATATCCTGAGATCTAATTTTGAGCTTTAGCCTGATACACTTCTCTATTTGTTTATTCCTTTGTACTACCCTATAGTTTCATTTACAATGGTTTTGAAGTAATGTTTCCTTATTTGGAAAAGCAAGTCTTCCATCCCCCACCACAATCTTTTTCCACAAAGTTTTGGCCACTCTCAAGTGCTTATTCTTTCACAGTGAATTTTTCTTAGAAGTTTCTTCTTAGAATGGAAAAAATAGAACATGGAAAAAATTTGATGCGCACGCTGAATATTACAAGGGCTTTTAAGGATTATCTGTAAACAAAACACAGTAAGATATTTTAATTGAGCCATTTACTTATGGTTTCCTTGACCAATTGATATTTCACATTTCTGACAAAAGAGAACAATCATACAGTAATCAGAACAGTATGTCTTCTTTAGCTGATTGAAGAACCACCCACCAAAATATGAGAATTCTCCCACTTAATGATCTCCCATGCAGACTATGTAGCTCGGAGTAGTAAATGCTGAAAATCTAGAGAAGTGTTGACTTATACATTTCATTTTGTAAAATCAAAATTCAGCAACTTTGGTGGGAAATTCTTTCCTAATTTATCAAAGAGAATAGTTATACTTAATACCTGAAATAATCCATTTCATATGTTAAAACTCAGTGTCTCTCTACGTAACACTTTCAAATCATTCAAAATATTGGTTCCCTGCAGGGAATATACCTTTCCTCCCCAAGTCTCAATTTGCCCCTATCTACTGGGTTCTTTCTTCCTCTTGTATGTTTACACTACTGTTGGTATTTTAAAACTCTCCCATGACTTCGCCAACCACTGTCTTATTTCTCTTTTATTTGCCAAATTTCGACAGGCACTGGTATCTACTAACTACCTCAGTTTCCTCTCCAGATGCAGCTTGAATGGAATAGAAAAAGCACTGATCTTGAAGGAAGAAACAGCACCTATGTAATTCACTAGCTGTACCACCTTGAATAACTAGATGAACCTCTATAAACCCAATCTGCTTCCCTATGTGTTAAATGGAAATAATAATACCTACTTCAAACGTTTTCTGTAAGAATTTGAGAATGTTTAAATTTGAGAAGTTATTAAATGTTTTATTAAAAGCTATTAAATGTTTAAATTCTGTAAGAATTTGAGAAAATTAGTAAATGTTCTTTCCTCACTAAAGTTTGTACTTTATCTTCTACTGTAATTTATTTTCTTAAAGATCCTTGTTAATTACTCCCTTCTTGCAACTCATCTATCCAAACCTTGTGCTTTTCTGTTTTTCCTGCTATCCCCACCAATCATCTCTTTCCTTTATAGTGGACACTTCCAAATACTCAAATCTTGGCTACCTTTTGCTATGCTTTCTCCTTCAGAAAACAGACTCTTCTTAGTGCTTTCATGATCACCTCTATGCTAATAATGCTCAACCCACCTCCTCTGTCCCAGTTCTATTTTCCTTTCTCAACTCCAGTTTTACGTGTCTACCTCACTATATACACTTTCTTCATTACACATATGATCTCTAAGCTCTCAATCATCACCTTCCAGATGAAAATGTACATCTGTTTTTGCCCTTGGCTTCTCAAATATCCAGGGTGATCCTTTTTGGATTACTTTAGAAATAGGATTAAAGAGGAAAAAATAAGAATATGAAAAAGAAAAGGAAGACCTATAGTGCAACAAACTTACAGTTCTACCTGTTGGGCCTATTATACCTTCTTTGCCAAAGGGGCCAGTGTTTCCCTGTTGGGGTAAAAGAACATCAGTCAGTCTCACTGCCAGTATAATGTAGAAAAATTCTAGAAAATCCCTTCTGCAATGGTAAAATAGTCCATAATTTTTATTACAACATCTTATAGTATCAGGAGAAATCATAATACTTTTGATTTGTAGTCTGTGACACAATTCTGTACATTATAGATTCCTATCAGGAGAATTACATCTGTAGAATTTCTAACAAACATAAATCAGCCTTTAGTTTTCATGTGGTGATATCTTCAATGATGCCATTTTTCATGTGGGTCATTACATAACAAATGCAATTACTTTACATAAAAAGACTACATAGAATGAGAAACAAAATTTCGAATAGCTCTTTTTACAGATGTTGAAGGAGATGTCTCAGTGACATGCAGCATGCCACTGACAGAAAGTATGGGAAGGAAACACAGAGCATCATATGTGACCAACTTCAGTTTCTCCGTCTGTTACATAAGATTGCATACTTCATAGGGCCATTGTGAGAATTAAATGAGAAAAATGATTTTGAAACTGGAAGCTGTTATTGATTATGAAGATCACCTTGAATAAGCCCAATCTAGTCAACTCCTTACAAACTAAATATGGAACGCATCTTTTTTTTTTTTTTTTAACTGAAGTATAACTCGCATACAATGTTCTATTAGTTTCAGGTGTACGTCACAGTAATTCAATGTTTTTATACATTATAAAATGATCCTCACAATAAGTCTGGCCATCACCTGCTACCATACAGAGGCTATTACAATTACTGACGACATTTCCTATTCTGTACATTCCATCCCCAAGATGTACTTACTTTATAACTGGAAGTTTATAACTCTTAATTCCCCTCACCTGTTTTGCCTGCTCCCCAACTCGTCCTCTCCTCTGGTAACCAAGAGTTTGTTTCCATATATCTATGTGTCTTTTTCAGCTTTGTTTTGTTGCTTTTATTTTTTAGATTTCAAATATAAAAAATTTCATATATAAATGTATTTTCCTTTCTTTGTCTGACTTACCACTTCTTTATGAATACAAAATACCTGTTTTAGTTATTTTCCCTCAACCTCCATGCCCAATCCCACTGGCAGCAAATTTCAGTCTGGCTCACACTTAACCTGACACTTAAATGCAGATATCTAATAGGATTACTCTTCATCCAACTCCTGCTAAGGTGAAGAAAATACTATCAATTGAAATCATTATGTCATGGAGTCTATCAATAGATGGACTAGAATGAGCCTAGAAAGACAGAAATTATCTGGTACTATAAAAGTAAATCTAATGAAATCACTTTTAAACTCAAATATTGACTTTAAGTGATAATTTATAAATATGGTACCTAAATTTCAAAGACCCCCAATCAAATAAAGAGAGTTGATTTCCTAACCTAATCAAATATAAGCCCTAGACTGGTTTATAACTGGAAAAAAGTCAACAAAGCTTTAATTTAATGAACTTGACTGTGATCAAACTCTTTAGAATGATGATTTGTTAAAAGAATGGAGAGGTATACATGAACTCTAGAAAAGAAAGACCAAAACAGAAAAAAAAAAAAAAAATTGTCTGTTTATTGAAATGTGTCCAAAAGATGAGGTGTTATGATTTTAATAGTTGGTACCAGTTAACTACATAAATACATCTTTGAAATGGAGGGCAATTAATCCAGATTTCCTACTTCAGTTGATTTAATTTATTTAATCAAGTATTTATTGTTTATTGAGCAAGAACTAGCTACTTGGCCACTTAATGTCCATTCTATATTCTAATTATGCAACTAGCAAGCAACTTTGTAACATACTATTTGGTCATTCAGCTGTGGATTAAAATTTTGGTTCTTCTACTTGCCACACATGGCCTTGAGCAAATTACCATTCAGAGACTTCATTTGCCCACTTGAAAAATGGGTATAATAGCATCTCTCACAGTATTTTTATGAGGATTAAATGATATAAGGGTCACAAGCTGAACACTGGTACATAAGAGTTTTTTGCTAAATATTAACCTATCATGACTTTCACTTGTCTCTATAATGACTTAATAAGAGATATCTGCACTTATCAATTAGTATTTGTAAGCAGTTACCACAACTTTACTATTGGTGAACTGACAAAATTTCTGGAGCTGCGAAGCAGTAGAGGCTCAGACCCTGGCCAACAGAGACCCAGAACTTTGTAAAATTCAGATTAGAGCAGATGCTAGGCAGGCAGCCGACTTCTCTTTGAATAGCAAGAAAGGATTAATTGAGAACTTAATAAAACTAGAATGAATGGATTTAATTAGTAGAGAAATTAACATATATAAGAACTTCAAAGCGATATTTATTATACAGAAGCCTGCCCACGTATAACTCACCTGTGGATAATCAAGAGGAGGGTTTTATTTTTTATTTTTTATTTTTTTAAGATACATTTTTAAAATTTATTTTTAATTGTGGTCAAATACACCATAAAATTTACCATCTCAGGGGCACATGGGTGGCTCAGTCAGTTAAGCGGCCGACTTCGGCTCAGATCTTGATCCCGTGGTTTGTGGGTTCAAGCTCTGCATCTGTCATTGCAAAGCCCACTTAGGATCTCTGTCCCCCTCTCTCTCTGCACCTCCCCTACTCCCTCTCCCTCTTTCAAAAATAAATAACCATTCAAAAAATTACCATCTTAATGGTTTTTTAAATGGTTATTTATTTTTGAGAGACAGAGATTGAGAGCACAAGCTGGGGAAGGATCTGATACGGGACTCAAACTCATGAGCCATGAGATCATGACCTGAGCCAAAGTCATGCTTAACTGAGTGAACCACGCAGCCACCCCCCATCTTAGCCATTTTTGAGTGTACAGTTCAATGGCATTAAGTATATTCACCATGGTTGTGCTACCCTCCACACCATTCACCTCCAGAACTTTTCTCATCTTGTAAAACTGAAACTCTGTACTTTTGAAAAATAACTCCCTTTCTCCCCTTCCTCCAAACCTCCGGCAACTGTCATTTTATCTTCTATCTCTATTAGTTTGACTACTCTGGGTACTTCATATTGTGGAAGGATATAATATTTGTCCTTTTGTGACTGACTTCTCTTACTTAGCATAAGTTCTTCGAGGTTCATACACACTGTAGCATGGGTCAGAGTTTCCTGCCTTTGTAGGACTGAGTAATATGCCACTGTATGTATACACCACAGTTGGTTTTCCACTCATCTGTCAATGGACGCTTGGCTTGCTTCCACCTTTGACTATTGTGAATAATACAACCATGAAGATGAGTGTGCAGATATCTCTTTGAGGTCCTGCTTCCAATTCTTTTAGGTGTATCTAAGAGGAGGGCTTTATATAAAAGCCCCAATTTTCCACAGTTCTTCAGAAATCATAAAAATAATGAATGAATTTGCACCTGAAGAAATGCTGAGGAGGGTCTTTAAACAAACACTTCCCATGACAATACCGACCTTTGCATTACCGACAGGATTTATTTTAGGAGTTGGGGAAGGAGTGCAGGATTTCAAAAATTTGACTTTTCATTTACTATTTTGTGCAAGGCAGTGGTTTTCAGCTGTAAGGTTTTTCAAGATTCCTTTCTCCTCCTTCTGGGGCACTTTCCTTCCTCCTTTGGCTCCCTTCACCCTGGCCCTAGTAGCTGCTGTTGGCCAGGGGGCGCCACTGCTGCGGGCAAGCCACAATCTGATGTTGTACAGCTTTTTTAATTTCAATTTTATACATCATCTCATCAATTAGGAGACTGCGGTTAATAGAAACAAAAACAAAACCAAAAGGCAAAAGACACACCAACAAAAACAGGTAGCTGCTGACAGCTAATCTGTCCCTATTTATATTTGCTATAGTTTGCAATTCCAAGCACTGGCCAGCCAATTGGAATTCTTCAGACCCCAATCTTTCCAACTCTTTAAGCAGTTCCTCATCACTTCCTAGGGATACCCACCCCTGCACTGGGGAAACATCAGTATTGGGAAATATTTTTCAAACTGTGGTGTGAGGAGCTCTGGTCAGAGGCAAGCCTCCTCCACATGGTGCACAGGGGTGGTCTCTGCTCTCTGGTTGTTCTCAAGCTTATAACATGAAACCCTTTATTTTTTGTTCCTAGTGTGAGTTAATAAATACATTATCCGGTGTCAACATTAATATGGTTACTCTGTGGGGTCCTTTGCTCAAATTAATATATGAACTGAAAAAGGCTCAGAACCTTTGCATGTGATCTAATGGGTTTCTATTTAAAAAGTCATTTTCTTAAGTTATTAATTTGGAGCATATCAATTTTAGAGTTCTTAATGCTGATTCCTACAATTGGCAAAGAATCACAATTTCCGGGCAGGTACAATGACTTTATACTCACTCTCTGTCCCACAGGACCTTTAGGACCTGATATTCCAACTATGCCAGTGTCTCCCTCTGGACCCTAAAAATATAATAAAAATAAAAAGTCGAAATCTTTAACTCTGTATGGACATGTTACAAGTGCAATGATCTTGTAACAATCAATTAAGAGTTGGCTCTGAAAAACTGGAATGTTAATGGAGATGCATGCTGAGTACTTTGGAGGAACTGTGCGAAAGTGTGCAACTGACTTTGAAGTACACCAGAGTGACGTGCGAGTGGGAGGGAGGGGCAGGAAGACACATGATAAAGTACGTGGAGTAGACAGCTATGGTAGACTCTAGGTAACTCATATGTGGGTTTTCACTCATTCTCTCAACTTCTGCTGTATGTTTGAAAACTCTCACAATAAAATGTTTAGTAAAGTGGAATATGAGGGGGCCAGAAGCAAATTATTCAATAAAATTGGTGGGGAAATCTATGGCTACACAAATTTTAAATTAACATGTTCAAAATGTAAATATATAACTCTGTACGAACTGAATTTTTGCAGATTAAGATATACAACAATTCAAGTCGGAGACTAAACATTGGTATTTCAACATCTTCTGGATGAATAGCAGAAAACATGTGAACGTACCCTGGGGCCTGGGAATCCTTGGAAACCTGTCAGACCTTGGACACCATGTTCTCCCTGCAATGTGAATAGATATGATGATCATTATTGTGCAACGTGGCCTGGTCTGTAGAAAAATAATACTTAGTGAATTTCTGAGTTGGCACATACAGGCTGCCCTTTCAGGCCAGGCTCTCCACGTGGTCCTTGATCACCTTGTGCTCCTCGGTGACCTCTTTTACCTTGAATTCCAGGCTGACCAGGTAGTCCTTGTTCACCCTATGGACAAAAAAAGAAAGGTGATCTTGACTTTAGAATCTACCAACATATTGGTCTATCCTTAGGTGTATCTAGTACAGGGCACTGAGGAGATCAAATTCCACATTTTTTCCACATAAGTAATATTTGATTATAATGAACAACAAGTATAGCAGTGGGGAAAGCAAATTCCAGGGATTGTGGTCATAAGTGTGGAAAGAAGAGGGAAGGGGATGCCTAAAATCTAGAAGGAAGACAGTGGGGCTAATGAGGGAACGGTGAATGTGTGATATGTGTGTGGGTTGTATATTACATATGATGGAATGTGCACTGTATTTGAGTTGGTGTTACTTTGCTGTGTTCTTGTCACCATACAGAGATGATTCAGCTGATACCAGAAACAGCAGATTCTCCTGAAGTGTGAAACCTGGTTTTTGCCATGGTTGTCTTTTCAATCCTATCATTAAGAAATTTCCATTACCAGGGCACCTGGGTGGCACAGTCAGTTAAGCGTCTGACTTTGTCTCAGGTCGTGATCTCATGCTTCATGGGTTCCAGCCCCGCATCAGGCTCTGTGTTGACATCTCAGAGCCTGGAGCCTGTTTCAGATTCTGTGTCTTCCTCTCTCTCTGCTCCTTCTCCACTCATGCTTGCTCTCTCTCTCTCATATATAAACATTAAAAAAATTTTTTTAAAAAGAAATGTACATTAGCTGTTTCTCATGGTTCCTTTGATATAAATTCCCTTTATCTCCTTTAAAATTCTACTTTAATGATATACTTAATCACCCTTCTTTTACTTGCAAAAGTTAAGTCTTTTCTAAATTTATTTTTATTTTGTTTTTCAAATGAAAGTTGAAACATCTTTCACACCATTTCTAACAACAAGAATCAGGTGAGGTTTGCAGATAGGTTAATGTAAAATGATGCTGGAAGACTTTGATCAAAGATTCTTTAAGATTAGCAAATTATCTTTCACTGTCTGGAGACAAAGATACAGCTTTGGGTCTTGACAAATAGGGATCCTTTTATTTGCAGATTCACATGTTAAAGAGAGGAAATCTTACTTCTTTTCCTAGTTTTAGCATTTGCTCAACTACTTTGAATTTTAGTGGAAAGGGGTGGGTCATTTCCAGTTTATCCATATGGATCAGAATACCTGAACATGCTTTAGAAGTGGTACTATGAAAATCAAATGAAGAGGTGATAATGATGACAATGCCAACATCTCAATCCTAGGCTATTTTATGCATTGCTTCAGACACTGGACTATCTCTTGGTTGTCTGGGTCAGTTCTGCACTGAGGTAGCTCTCAAACAGGTTTTGTTTGGAAAGCCTATTGGCATGTAACAATACTCCATTCAATGAATGTTAATTCAGTATTTCATTATGATCACTTTGACTCTATGAAATAAGCTCTGCTCTTATCGGATTTATAAATTGGTTGGTAAGGCTAAGACTCAGGGGAATAGGAAGTGTATCTAAGAAAGTATGGATCTGGAAGTAAGTAAGATTTCTCTTTTTTTAGAGGAGAAGGTAGATGACAGAGTGAGAAAAAGAAACAGAATGAGTCAAACGGCATTTTAAAAAAATGCTTATTTATTTTTGAGAGACAGAGTATGAGTGGGAGAGGGGCAGAGACAGATGGAAACACAGAAACTGAAGTGGGCTCCAGGTTCTGAGCTGTCAGTACAGAGTCCAACACGGGGTTTGAACTCACAGACTGTGAGATCTTGACCTGAGCTGAAGACAGACACCCAACAGACTGAGCTGCTCAGGGGTCCCAAAGGGCTTTTTTTTTTTTTTTTTTTTTTTTNAACACAGAAACTGAAGTGGGCTCCAGGTTCTGAGCTGTCAGTACAGAGTCCAACACGGGGTTTGAACTCACAGACTGTGAGATCTTGACCTGAGCTAAAGACAGACACCCAACAGACTGAGCTGCTCAGGGGTCCCAAAGGCATTTTTTTTTTTTTTTTTTTTTTTTAAAGCATTGGCTGTCCTGGGTTGATGAGTTGTTCTGGCAAATCACATGCACTGTGGTTATCACAGGAGATGAGTATGACGAGGCCACACACTATTTCTCCTAATGTGTTTTTATTCTTGGTCAAATTTATTAAAAATGATTAATCTTACCATCCTGTGATTTAGCCAAGGAACTAAGATACAATAAAGATGTTAGTAGTGCTGCTCATTGATCAGAAGAAAATGTTAAAGTACCTTTGGGCCCGGAACCCCTGGGCTTCCTGGAAGGCCTGATGACCCCTTGGCTCCTCGAGGACCCGGAGACCCAGCCAGTCCTGCTCCTCCTGGGCTGCCTCTGGTGCCCTAAATCACATAGGTAAGAAATAAAAATTGGGGTGTTTCTTAAAAATCCATCCAGAGGCTCAGTAAACGTAAGAGACATTGGTGTTCTGAAAGGCTACTGTTGACACACTGCCCAGGTTTGAGAGTTATCCTGGGCTTCTTTCCCAAATAAGTGAAATATTTAAGTAATGTGTTTACCTACCTAAAGTCTCTAATTATAGTTAAAATAATTGTCTGAGGTATTTCAAATGAAAATACAGAGGCAGTACAGTCTGTCAGTACCTTCTGACTTAAAATAGCCTAGGTGTAAAGTATGTTCGTTGTATTCTAACTTTCTGTATTATATCTGGGTATGCGTGACAACTCTAATAACTGATTAATGTTTCCTTATGAAAAATATTCCATGGATATTAACCAGACTTACTGTGGTGATCATTTTCTCAATATATTCACATATCGGATCATTATATGCCTGAAACTAATATATGTTGTATGCATGAAACTAATATAATGCCCTATGTCATTTATATCTCAATTTTAAAAAAAGGATTAAAAAGATTTTTTTAGAGTTTCTGAGTGGTTCATTTGTTAACCCAGCAAGGAAAGTCACCTAGTGATATGACTTAAATCATGTGCCCACAGTAAGCTTGTTTAAGATTGTTAGCCTCTTGGCAAGAGTGATGGCCTGAAATGTTGAAGACATTGGAGCAGCATCACTAGCCAATTTAAAAACAAGGCAAATGCTTTTGAGTGGTTTTCCCTGCCTCTTGATGAACTGATAGATTGTCAGTAATACAACTCGGTTGTTTATTTGGGGAGTCAATGCTGTGTTGAAGTGACTGAAGAATTAACGTATATGAACAGTTTGTAATGGACTATAGGTGAGAATATTTTCAAAGAAGTTCAAGCATCAAATCAGTACAACCTCAAATGGAATGTGGTAAAATGTGATAAAACTGATAGCAATGCATTGGAAGAAGATTTACTGGACAAATTTACAAAATTTGTGAAAAATGTACAGTATTTAAAGCTAAGGATATCCATTGTATTATTCACCATCAGTTAGATGAGAAAAAAACTTGAATCTATCATGTGTTGTTGAACAAGTAGTGTCAACAGTGAAACTCCATTGACTCTTGCAACCTTCATCCATTCTGTGATTTTTTGGTGTGAAAATAGAAACTGAATATCCTAATTTTCTCCATCCCACAGAAATTTGATGGCTTGGCAGGGATAAAGTTTTGCTGAGATATTTTGAGACCAAGACTGAAATTTTTTGAATGAGAAGAACCATCCTCGACCTCTATTATTGAATAATGAGTGACTTTAGAAATTAGATTCTGCTACAGACTCTATAATGTTTATCAGTGAATTCAACCTAAAACTATAAGGCAATGCCTATATGTGAAGTATGTACTCTGGTAAAGTAATTCCTTTTTTAAGTAATCTCTATGCCCAACATGGGGCTTGAACTCACAATTCCAAGATCAAGAGTCACATGCTCTACCAACTGAGTCAGCCTGCCACTCCATGTGGTAAAGTTATTTTGATGACAACCAATGTTTGAATCACAAGTAATGTGAAGCAACTTTTATGCATTTCCTACGTGTCAAAATTTAAACAATAAGCGAGATCTTCATTTCCACACAAATTTGCAGTGGGTAGGTTTTCTGAGCTCAACTACTTTCAGTAGGATTTTTTAGCACTAGAGGCAAGAAATTTCTATACTTCAAAATTCATTTAACTGTGCAGTTGAGAAGTTTCCACCTAATCTCCAATTGGATATGAATAAAATGCAATGTAATGACATGATAGAAGGCAAATATCAGGAGAAGAACCTAACAGAATTTTATAAATTCCTTCCAAGCAATGAATAGGCACAGTTAAAATCATATGTTCATGAATTTGGCAGTACCTAACTGTGTGAAAAGAATTTTCAAAGATGAAGTATGCAAAGCATGCAAAATCTCATTATAGGTCAGCATTAGCAGAAAAGGAGAAAATTTTGATGATATGGAACTGTAGTAAGCTGAACGTTATTTCCCCTCCCACAAATAATCCCATTTTTTCTCATTGGTAGAACTGTATTACAAAAAAATTGTACTAAATTATATTTTGAATTTCATGAAAAAAATTTGTGAAAATCTATATTCTCTCTTGTTGCATAAGTTCTTAAATAATACACTTAACTTTGCCTCTTGCCTTGCAAAGCCTGAAATAGTTACCAATATTTACAGAAAACATTTGTTGACCTCTGTTCTAGATGACTGCTACTTTCTCTGTTAATTCCTGGGATACTAAATTGGGTTGTGCAATCATTCTTTCATGCATTCAGCAAAAAAATTGATGATGATATAGAATATCATCTATGTGAAAGGAAGGTACCATGGGTGTCATATGGGGAATTCAAATATAAATATGTTTTTTGTTTTCAAGGAGCTTAACATTAAGTGGAAAGGATAAAATGTAAGTATATAAACAATTATAATAAAGACAGAAATATTTTTTTAAAATGCCAGATGAGAAGAGAGACAGCAAGCAAATTCTAGAGAGGTTCTGAATAGGGGAAATGACTTTTGGTGCTAATCAAAAAAGGAATTATTGATAAAGCGAGTAGAACTGGATCATAAGATAAAGATACTGCTCTTAAAGTTACAAATTTAATAGGAGAGATGATTTTCTCAGGAGAGTCTAGAGTTATTTCTATAGAAGTCTTGGTTGGGAGAATAAGATTTAAAGTTAAAGCCAATTTTGAATACAATACTAAAGTATTTTTCCTTTTTACTCCAAATTATATCATCACATATTTTCTTATTCTCTTATGTATGGTGAATAATTCAACATAGCTAAATAATTACCTTTTCTAGGTATGTTTTCTTCATGATCACAAAACTCACTAAAATAATGAATGTAAATGTATTTTATATCACTAGGTACCATGTACTACGCTGGGCACTTATAGGGAAAAGCCTACAGAATATAGGTTCATAGTCCTAGGTTGACTTTTAAACATTTTTTTTTTTGCCCCAATCTATATGGGCCATTTTCTCTCACCATTTTTCTATATTAGTGTTTCTCAATCTATGTAAAGAACCATTATGAAGACAAAGTGGGGGAAGAGAGAGAGAAGGAGAGATGGGGAGTAAGTGAGAAAAGAGAGGGAGAGAGGGGGAGGTAGAGACAAAGAGAGACAGAAAGAGAGAGGAAGGAGGGCAGAGAGAAGAGAGGGAGAGAGGGGACGGGAGAGGGGGAGAGAGAGAGATCCATATTGTGGACTTAAGATTCAGGTGCTCGCACCATAACCTGAGTGCACTAATTATTTCCTTCCCCTTGCCACCTGGATTTGAGAACCCTGGATTCATGTAATCTATCCTATTTCTTTCCCCTTGCCACACCCATCCTGGATTCAGGACTTGGCGTCATTTTAGAACTCATCAATGCACATGAAAGCAAATCCAGTCAGTCATCTGAGACTTTGGGATATAAAATTTCAAAAATGTATAGTGAAGACATCATACCAATGGCCAGCTCTCTAACAGAAATGTTACTTAACAGAAAAGGCAAGTCTCAAAAACAAAATTCTGATGAATAGTGCCCTCCCCACTAAAACCAAAAAGAGGTGAAAAACATAAACTTTCTTTGCAATGGCCTGCAGAGAAAGCAGATTCTAAAAGGTCAAATAAAAGATGGAAGGAAGGGTATATATGCAAGGGAAAAAAAATCATACAGACTTAGGTTAATACATAGACTTAGCTCCAGAGTTAAACTAGGTGAAATGTAAGGATTTTTTTTTTTAAGTGGATTGTCTTGCTAGGCTGTGAATAGCCTATCCTTGGATGGATTATAGAAGTAATAGATGCCACAGGGAGAGCATATCATGACAGATTACCCTAGACAATTTTAGGATACCTCAACTTCCCAAAATTCTAAAATAGTAGCACTCACTTGTAATTTTAGGCAATTTCTAAGACCTTTATTTGTCAACAGTAAAAAAAAAAAAAATGTATCTTTTGTGTAATGCATGGACAATGGACATTCAGATACTGCTGAACACTACTGAAGCCAATATGTATTTTTAGCTGAGAATAAAAAGGACCCTAAGACTAGTCCTCAGGGTTAACTGAAAACCAGAAACTTTACTTGCAGTGCTATCACATATTTAGCACAGTACAATGAGTATGTTCCAAGTCATTTACTGTTCGTGTTGGTTTCTTAGAGAGAAATTTGAGGATAGTAGCAGAGTGTTCTGTGCAAAGTTCCAAACAATGTTTCATTCAAGTAGAGAACAAATATTTCTTATTATGAACACAAAGATGGATGAGTAATTTTGCTTTCAAGAGAAACAGATGCTAATGCCTAGGCATTCTTTCCAGTGTCTTCTAAATGATTTGTCTAAAACCAATAAGCAGAGAGTAAGTCATTCTGAGTGAATTTTAAAAAGTAAACAAAGCCACAATTAATTTTTTCAGATGATGAAACCAAAAAACTTCGCAGGAAGTGTCAGTTTTGATTGGACTTAAACTGACAACTGCTTAAGCCTTGATATTCTAAAGAAACAACAGCCCCAAGAGTTACTTTTTATTGTCTTCTATGTGTCAGAAACTGTCACCGTAATACGGTTGTATTGTCTTCTTAAATTTGATGTCAGTTGAGGAAAGAAGAGGGATTCCTTGTCTTTAACTTTTAACTTCCCTATGGGGATAGGAAAGAGTAGTTTATGTCTAAATCTGCCTTCAATCTGGTAAGGAAAATGGAGTTATCTGCATACATTAGGAGGACAGAGAGAGAGGAAGATTTTCTAACAGTGATGACTGGTTTGTATTTAAAAGTGAAACATCACAAAGAAAATGTCCCTGGGCCCCTTAATGTAGTTGTCTTAACTTCATTAGGATTTAAACAACTATATTAAGAAATAAGTAAAACAGAAATAAAATTTGCTAAAGACAGGCAACAATAGAAGTCCACATTTTAAAGTAGCTTATCAAAGGGATGCCATCTTTAAAACTATGTTGAATGAAGAG